GCTTGGCTAGAACACCCCACAACTAACTATCAGAAACACCAAGTCAGGCTGCGAATTCCGTGAGCTTTGGTCAGACAAGCAAGAAGGAATACGAAAGTACGTAGAGCTTGGCTTTAGGCTGTAAGAATAATGTGGCGTCAATAACGTGATATTCTCTATAACTCAACCTGTCTCAGATTTGCCAATGGTGGTTTTCTTAACATGAACGATTGATCTTTCGGGGCTCTCCGGGCAGGAGTTGAACAGTGACACCAGCAGTAGCAATGACTATTCTTGGCGTAAGTATCAGGTTGATCATATTCATCAAAAATAGTTCGACGCTTCCAATGAAACGGTTAGACTGACGTGAATAGTCTAACTAAATCGCCTAACCTTGAATAAAGGCAATTTTTGGTTATAAGTTGCGTGATGATATTGCAATAATGACTCCATTTTTTGTCCTTCAGTAATTTGGACGGTTGAACCTCAGTAATACCAATACTCTATAAGTCGAAGTGTTGTTAGCGATATGCAGAGCCGAGTACGATTTAAATCTCGGTGCCGCTTCTATCTTATGAGCCAAACACGACGAAACAGCCGCCAGACTGTTGATGAAAATCGAATAAGCATCTCAAGTTGCTCATAAAAACACCACTTCGATATCTCGACCAGTAATCCAACGGAACCCTGAGACAGCCTTCTAGATTGCTATGTATATGCATTCCATGATAAAAAAGAAGATATTAAAATTTGAGGGTTCCCTTTATTCAACAAGCAGAGTGAACTCAGTGGTTGGCTACCGTAATACTTCGTACAGCAGAATATCCAATATTTTAATTGGTTACGACCAGTTCTGGAGCCAATGTGGGATCCGGAAAGAGAGACTAATCCAACGGTAGGACAAATACGCAGTTCTTTGAACTGAAGAGGTCAATTGTGCTCGCCTGGTTCAGGATGAAGTGGGACAAGGATAACTTAAATTTCATTAGAAAGTCACCAGCTGACGGAACTTGTCAGAGAGGCAAGGACGTTTTGTACATTATAGACAGGAGCAAATTATTTGTCCAGCGAGTGCCGACTACGTTTTTCACTTATATTTGCGGTAGTAATATGTTTGCCCTCACTGCATGGCACACAACCCAAGAGTAGTAATTAGTAGTCAGAAATAATAAGTAGCCGCAAACGAGTGCGATAGGCACATCTGGTCCATTCGTTGTCTCGGAAAAATTAGCAAGATGTGTGTCCAGTTGAATAACGCTACAATGACACGAAAGAAGTAAAAAAAACATGCCCATACTGCTAGATGGCATTCCAAGAAAAGAGGCTCCATACTATGAAGCAGTACGGAATAAAAAGCCTGTAACATGGGCTTACTTTGAATTCGCTGGGATTATGGATTTTCAAGTCCCACTTTGTAACACTGTCAGTGACCAAGACAATTTGCTGAATAACTCCATTTGTCATGTTCTGCATGTATTCTACCGATGGCTGAATTGTTATGTTTGGCAGGGACAAATATGCTTCACAGAAAAAGTAAGTATCTCTTTCGCCCGAACTTCCTGTTGCATCTGTCGCATGAAAAAAGGAATGTAAGATGCGTGATATTTGCACGTAATTTAGAATGAGTGTCATGGAATATCGTCGTTTCTATCGTGTTCTGAATGGGATGTTGCAGCTTGCTTAGAAAACGTGTACTTTACCAACCAAGCTATCACTCGCCGTTCGCATGAACAGACAAACACGCCAATCAACACGTCTTAACAGATTGATTCCTATTCGACAGTAATGATAGTTCACCATAAACGTTAACATAGAAATGATGTCTATATCATCAAGAAACATCAGGGGGGGGGGGTATTCTGTTTTAGTGGAAGGAAGGAAGCGGCACACAGGGTCTTTGTTCGAAATGCTCAGTACATTTAAATACAAACGGGCAAGTAAAAGATGAGGCCCGTAATTTCATCATTATTTGAGCGGGAGATTTTTTGTTTCCACTACCTGAGTAGCCTGGAATGTGGACTTTGATTTGAACCATATATGACATGAATTACTCTCGGGTGCACCCTACACTCTTGTTGACTAGAGCCTGTCTCCGATTATGTTTTCCGGACTACCTCGTCATTTTCAATAAGGCTAGCAGTGATCTTGACCCATCGGCTTACACTGGTTCTGAGTTGATGTAGAAAAAACTTCACCAAATGATACTTGTACTTGGATGTGCACCACCCCTGAAAATTCCATGCTAGACATTAAGGCGCGCACGTAAACAAATACTCTGAAGTTTACTCTTGCCAGATCATGGATAGTACGCTCACCACCATCGTATTGCAAACTTACCGTAGACTCGATGAGCTGGCGCCATCAAGTGTTTGCGTAAGTTTTCCAGTGTGTTCCGCATAACCCTGAGCAGCGTATCTACGAAACGGTGGTGGTAACTATCCAATAATCTCCTGGCAGCCTCATCAATCCGCTTCTTGCAACGCGCTTCCTTTGTACGTGTTATGGTCGAGGCGGTTCTTCCTGACGCTTTAAAAGAGAAAGGTGAGAGAAGGTCAAATACATAGAATTGAGAATATGTCCTCGTTAGTTAAGACACAACTGGTGAGCAGTGGTATTGTATGAAATATAAATGTCTGTGCAATTAGGAAATCAAGCGGCTTCAATCCGTCCGGACATATAGGTAACTGAATTAAGGTATCGGTGACTACTGTCATCCTGGTTGTAGAACTGAACTGCAGCATTTCATTTCAGGTTAACAGATAGTTGATAACTGGTTTTCTGTGACTGCATCAGGTCAAAACACGGCTAATTTTGGGATAACATGCAGGTATATTTGTAACGCAGGTTGTCAGTCTATTCGGAGACGACAAACTGGGTCACATTTATGGGCTGTTCTCATTCGTGTTTTCAGAAAAGCTCACCTTAATACATTTCAGGAGATTAGGCCTACAACAGCGCCATGGCTGTTTTATGCCGGACTAATTGTTGACTAGTACTAGCTAGCCATGCGTGTTTGCTTTGGGAGAGTTCTATCTGTGGTGCGGGCCATAAGGTCAACTACCGCACATACTATGAATCAGCCAAATGATCGGACAATTTTGGGGTCACCAGTTGGGCGTGCTGATGGACTTAGACATTTTTTCCGGTTCTTCTTATTCCACTGAATATACACTAGGTACAGTTTACTGACCTCTTGGCTAGGCGCAACGGTATGTGGTGCGCGGGTCGATCAGCGTGTAGAAACGGGAAACAATCCACTTGTCTGAATATTACGTTGTGCTGACATTTGACCTTTTGTCATTGGATTGAAACCTAGGAATACTGGCAGTCTTTGACGCTTCATGCACTTTTTTATGGGAAATTGAACAGGGTAATATGGCTGAAAAATCGATATTCTTAGACCTGTTGACGCGCAAGTTTGCTCTCAGTACCTACTACTCCAGTGCTGAAATTGTCTCAGGATGCGCACGCCAGCAAAGTGGACCTCATGGGATTCACCTGGATCACAGCCCGTTTTGATCATTCGCAACCCAAGTTTGTCTCATGTTTTTATACCTCGTCAGATTTGTTGCAGTGAAAATTCAGACAGGCTTAGCATTACCTTAGAGACCCATCCGTCTTCTGTACGAACTCAGTCACCTCTGTAGTGTGACGTCCATCTGGGAAGTATTAGGGATGTTGAAGTTTGCATTCTGGAGGCTTTCAGCGAAGCACATCAAGTTAAATTCATTTTCATTTCATTCATTCATTCATTCATTCCATTCATTTTCATTTTTCAACGTTATTAAAGCACACGATTGGGCGATGGGACAATGCGCATTTTATAAAACAACCTTTGCATTTAAATGCATAGTTCTTCGCAAAGTTGAACCTTGTGAGGTCGAACGTAACCCTTTCCACTTATATGATTGAATGGCAAAAAATCTATTCAGTCAAAACTCTGAAGCAGAAAGTGAACCTTTTGAAGTATCCGCTACAACGGAATGATTGCCTAGGAATATTTCCAGCTGAACTATGAAGTCGCTTCATCTCCACTTTTCGATCAAATCGATTTGACAATTGAATTGCCGACGAGGGGAATATTGAAGGTTTTCACCAGAAAATTCCTTGAGTTCAGATGCCATATTCTTACCACATAAGAGCCAAGAGATTTATATTTACCAGATTGTTTACTTTTGGGGAGTCGGATAGACTGGTTGAATAGGGTGAAGCCTGTTTCATTGAGAAGACAACCTTTTATGTATCTATATAATATACTTATGATATTCGTACATATGTATATATAAAGAATCGGATGGGAACTTGGCAGACAAAGATAAGAAGTTGATTGCCGATTTGAGACATGAAATACAGTTCATGACCAACTTTGATTAAATGTTAACTCAGTTTTCATCAACTAGCCTTGCCAAAATGAATTAAGTCAGGGGTTATAGATCTTACTTATGCAAGTTTCTTGCGCAACACAACTTGCGAATCAAATCGATCTCTGGCAACTTGGGTGGCTTCCCATATGGTCTACTCGTATAGTGACGAAAAGTTTGCAGGCTAATTGCCAAACTCGCCCAAGAAAGCAACTGCAAGCCGAAGCTGTTTGTGTACTCATGAATTCATTTTTATTTGCGGGAGAGCTTATTTGCTCAGAATAGGTTGTAATTTGCAAAACCTTATTTATCTCCAAGTCCGAAAATGACTATCCGTTAAACACGAGTAGGGTCTTGAAAAATCAAAACCGTTCTTTATTTTCCACGTATACTGTAAAACTGCGTTTTCATTGGGTAGTTAAGATCGTTTTTACGTCTGACTTTGTTCCTATGGTCATTGTTAGCTGCATTTTGGTTACCTGTAATACCTCATTAGGTATCCGAGACTCGCTTCTTCTTTACCATATTGCTTAACGGAGAATAACTGCATCATTTGCTCTCCATTGGCTCGTGACGAACTTATCTGACATCTTTATCATTGTTTTCTCAACATCGGATTTGAGACGCCAGTGAACTGGAAATCTCGGAACCTTAACTCACCTGTCCTAATGTCTCTTTGTATCCCGCCATCACCTGAGACTGGCTGCTCACATTTTGTTTGTTTTTCCGCCTCAGACATCTGAGTAAGTCGCTGCTGGTAGTCCCCGGACAACATGTCGATCAGTTCGTAAACGGCAGCCTGGATGATCTGACTCTTGAGCTGCAGTGTTCTCCCGGCTTCAGCGCACAGGCTTTTGGTTCGCTCAGCAAACTGGTCTATCGACCAATAGTCTACTTTCGGAAGTTCACACAGATTTGTTTTCATCATTTCTTCCAGAACCTGGTAGAAATGACAGTGAAAATACGGGCATATTACCTGAAAGCATGCGTTGCTATTTGCTGCTGAAAAGCCATCCGAAATGACATAGGATGTGAGTTTTTAGACTTGGATTCCAGCCGGAGTGCCCGGTGAACCCCAACCTTGGGTACCTAAGTGATGAGGCAGAATGTTTGCTTGCCCGACGAAATATAGCATGAACATCTGGTAACTTCACATTTACTAATCGCACTGACTTTGTACCTTCCTGTTGGCTGGAGGAGTACAAATTTATGCATTCATTCCTTTGGAAAAACACTTTCACGAACGTGACCCGTTACTAGATCCGGAAATAAATTGCCTTGCTGCCTTGATTTTTTGCATCGTTAGTTCGTTCAAAATTCTGAAGGAATGGATGATCAATAAGATCTTTGGTAGAGTATTTTTACCAGTCTCGCAAATGTGAGACACTATCCCTTGCTTTTTGTGACGCCTTAGGCAAGTATAGATTTTCAGAAAAGTCGATATTAGTATACGATACATTACAGCGTCTTGACTGACGGTGTAAGTCAGCAATGATTAGCAATTATTGGTGGTTTAAGGGGACCTAATAACATTCTTTTTCAGATTTCTTCGTGTCAGTGAGGCCAGTTGAGGCTGAAAAGCCTAGAAGTATTGTACAGCTATTTCATCCTTATTGATGCCATTACCAGTGCGAGCCTTTCAAAAATGTCTAAGGGATAACTAATCACAGTGTTGATCAGCCACTCGTGGCTGAATGGCTATGTTCAACCACTTACCAGAGAGTCACGGGTTAAAAACTACCTGGGATTTTGTGGGATGCACACTGCTGATGGTTCTCATTAAAAGTGAAAAAGCTGTACAGCGGATTCTGGCTTTTCAGGCTTTACATGATATAATCTCGATTGAAAAACAGCGGTGATGAAGCAGGGGGAGCCGTTTTGTCTCTCTGTCACCCATTCTTTATTTATATACTCCCCCTAGTTGCTCGTGTGGAGATTTTGATAGTTTGTCCGGTTTCTCACAAAATTTAACATATACTCCGCCTATTTTGGAATGCCTATTCTCTCAACAGAGTGACCAATCTGGGACTAACTGGGTCATTTTAACCACTAGACTAGCTTGGTTTCCACAAACAGCCATCTTTTAGTGAGACCTTCCCAATGTGTTATACTTGATAGAGTCTACTGGCATTTGCTTACCTGACCTAAGCGCGCATTGTATTTTCTTGCTGCATATGGCACTCCGTTACCGTCACTTAAAGACATGCAAATACAGTTATGTTGTGTCGCACCCATCCAACTTCTGTTATTTCAGGTAGGTCCCCTTTTCTTGTCGACCTCGAACTACCTTCCGAACGTGGCTACCGAATTCCACGCAGTTTCCTTCGTGTACTTTCTAATTACATGCCTGTCTGTTTGTAATCATACGTTTCTATATCATTTTCTGTGTTATTACTTCCTCATGAAAAACCCACTGTTTTATTCTCCTTCTCTACGCCTATCGAGTGGCCTATTTTCGATCGCACATGGCTTGTTCTATACTGTCTAGCAAATCGATTTTTAGAACCTGCTAGCATCACTGCCCTCATTCGCGTATTGCTACTGCCTAGTACTTGATGAATACCAGCTTTGTATAGTCCAAATGTTTTAAGCTTACTACAACAGCCCAAGCTACTCAGGTCTTGCATAAGGCGTACAGGGAAGTATTAACACCGAAGAAAAAATGATCTGGTTAAGATTTTCTCCACGAAGCACAAAACTATCTTTATTTATAACAATTTCACTTCCAGTTCCCACACATTTTGCAAATGATTTATTTTGAACTTAGTTTGGATGTTATTTATGAGTTGACATTACGGAGGCAGTACTGTGCTCGATTTTGTATGACTCACTGGTTTGTTCACTGCACCTGGGTGGACAGAACAGTTCTATATTTTGTGTTGTCTGTGGTATACCAATAATCAACCTATCCGCATTTAAGTCATTCAACTTTTATAACCTAGACCGAAAAAAGTTGTATTATTGAGGTTCGAAATTCAAAGGCAGTTCTGTATTAAGACAGAAAATTACTTCAAAGAAAACTTTGGGATTTCAGTTTATGTTATATTCGTTACCTCGAGAAAAAACCAGGGTTTCTGCTGGAGCACAACACATTTAGCCAGGGGGAGCATATCAGTGCAGCATGCCATCAATATGCAAGGCATAGATCACTGTTATTTTGGGTTCTTTCAGACCTCATCGTCTCTGGTAACATGCAAGTATTCATTTGAATAGAAAATGTACAATTACCGTTTCAATTCGATTCTGACACAAATTTCTAGCACGAGTAGCGAGTAACTTCATTTGGTCAACGTATTGGGACACATCATCAATGTACTGGTCTATACCCAAACTTGTCCAGTTTAACAGTGTGAGTCCAGGTTTGAGCAAAGTCTGTAGCGTGGCGAATTGTAGACGCATTAACTGGACCCATTGCGGATCCAACATGCTGTCCAGCTGAGAGATTTCACGTAGCAATAACTAAAGGAGAAGAGAATAGGGAACCTAGTAAAATCTTCTGAAAAAAGACTCCTTCGGAGGATATAAACAATGGAAAGTCTTATGTTTTCGTGACCGAAAGGGCCATTTGGTCAATTGCTTCGCAATATGTTAAGGAACTTATTAAAACTTTGACATTAGAGTGGGCAAATACTCTGTCGTTTTGATAAATTTATCAAAGTTGCAACTCAGGTGCAATACAACACAGCAGAATCAAGTAAAATACAATACAATACGATGTAATGCAGTAGCACGCGTTAAATGTATTTTTTCTTCTGCACCCTTAGAAGGATCTGTCTGATGCAGTGTTTGAAGCTGCTAGCAGCCCGTAGGTTAAACGTCACTTTGGTTCCAAGTCTAATACAATTTCATTCGGTTGTTCAGGCCACGCCGAAAAATTTCCACAACTCTTTTGTTTCCTGTTTTGATTGTACGAAGTGATTGCGTCTAGAAATGAACTATGGCAACCAGCGAAACAGACACTTATTTCCGGTGCAAGACCAGCATCTGTATACTTAAGAATAGTCATTTGGCCCTTTTAGCACGGAGAGTTTACCATGCGTGCACTCGTCGTCCTGGTGAATTCTGATGACCATTGTGAAGTTTTATCACCACCAATTTACTTATATATTACTAGTTCATTTAGTTTTAAGAATTCAAATATTGTTGCGTGTTCCCTTTTATGACCCTGAAATGTGCGTCCCATTGGGAGTAAAGTTCGTGATATCTAGCGACCATTTTTTTTGTGTGTAAAATTATCTTCAAAAAGTTTTCCTCCTAAAGAGTATGCATCATTTGGTTAGTAGTAGAAGGAGAGTCCCGAATTTCCAATCGAGAGTTCCGTCCTTTCAGTGAGGCCAACCTATCTTCCCAAGTAGGAGCTCATCACAGTACTGATCAGACGATTGTGGGCGAACGGTTATGTGTACAATCTGTTGGCCGAAAGGTCACTGCACCACTGAGGAACATCTCGATATCTGAACATTGCAGATCTTTCCTATTCGCTCAAATATTGATATTATCTTCAAAGCGTCTTAGGAACTGATCAAGACGCATAATGGAATACGCCTGGATGTTGGTATCTGACGAAGGTGTGTAAGCGATGTAGTAACAATATAGTTTGTGAACAACGGCAACGGGAGAAAACAGCATGTAAGGATCACTTTTATTCGCATTCTGAGAGTTGGCACTTCAGATTGAGAAGCTCAGACGAGCAATAAGATGTTACATACTAATTAGATAACAATGAACTTCCATAAAATGATGGTCATGTTATCAATTTTTTAACATGTGATCGTTGCTTAAAACACCATAACCCGTCCCCTTCAGCATTTCATTTACTTTTTCATCTTCAACTGCTGAGCGAGTAAACCAATAAAATTCCCGGAAATTGCATTCGGGTCAACTAGTGGCGGTGACTAGATCAAAGGTTTCCGTTTGTTTTGCAGATATAGATTATTTTAGGGCTAGGACATATTTCATTCCAGAAAACCGCTAAAAATATTCGAAATCCCCTTCAACCTTTTCAGTCCAAATGCTGAATTAATTACTCACCAATCCAAAGTAACCACTTATGGGTCCTAGAAAATACCGCCTGATTCTATCTGTCAGTAATGTGCAGAGTTGTAGGCTTTCGGTATCTACAAATTGTTAGACGTTATGGAATACAGTGACAGGAGAAACTGCCGATGATACCTTTCTATATACAAAATGTATTTCGGGCATTGCTTGATGGGATTTCCCCCTGGAATAATAAATTAAAGACGCCTCAGCTATATGATGAAAATGCAGACAGCTGAGAGAACATTCATTCAACAGAACACTGATGAAGTCTTTTAGAAGTAGGACGAGACATTTGTGTGATATCTCAGCCTGCTTTGTAAACGGTGTTAACTAGTCTTGTGCATTGTCTACATTGAATATCCCAATATCAGCACTACTTCATCATATTCACTCTCTGCATAGTGCTACCGTCTCTCACTTACAAGTAACTGCATCTTTTTCTGCTAATCTGATTTTGGTCATGCTGCAAACGCCTATTGGTGAACACGTCAGGCGACCTAGAAGTAATCGTCGGGTACACTGAATAATTATACTGTCAGTCTAGGGACACCGTACTTCTCCATCATCAGAATATTTAGGAACAATGTACGTTTTGCCTTGGCAGTTTGTCAGTCATTGTTTTGTTTAAGGAGGCCGGTGTGAGCTAAGAAGTGTGTATATATTGAGCAGGGCCCTCAGTTCTCATTCTCCTAGCTGACATACCCACGAGTTTGACTTACTTTTAGTCGGCTGTAATGATGTTTAATTTGAACACCCTGGCGATTGATATCGGAAACAGCTTGAGGAACGGTCATTCCGTACTTGGTTAACAGGTCTATCTCTCTGTACAGTGTCAGCAAGTCCTGATCTAGTGCAATAGATAGTCCATAGCTGACTTCGTCTTGTGTAAGCAAAGGGTTGCGTAGACCGGTTTTAATTGTGGGGACCTATCAAAGAAAAAAATATCCAGTTTAGTTGATAATTTAGGCATGTGATCGTTAATACTGAGAACAAAAATACTTTTCTTGGGGTTCTTCTAGTTCTGAAGCTTTGCAAATGTGCTATAGCCTTAAAAAGTCGTGACCACCCTTCTGGCATGCAAGAGCGGACTGTAGCATTGGATGGAGAAATTTGTAGATCTCACTGATGGTGGTTGGTTGAAAGCCACTTTTTCTGTCCATGAAGCCTTACGTTTTGAGTTGCTGTCTACTTTACTGTAGTTTTTACAATGTAGTGCCCGTTGTGATGATATCCAAAATCTAGAAGATCATTTCAAGGGTTAATAAAACGGGCATAGTGAGTGCCATGCTAAGTAGTAAGGTCGTACCGTAAACGTAATACCACATGCAGTGGGAATCCATGAGTCTGTTTATTCAGATTGTTCATCTCCAGATGACAGTACGCTATCGTATCTTCAACAGAAAGCTTGATAAAAACTCCTTCAATGGTAGGATCACTAACAACTAGTTATATTGCTTCACTCTCCATCCTTAACAAAACTGCTCGGTTAAACATCTGAAGTAGGTCATTGTTGATTATCATCAAGGAAGGTTGCCTCTGTGGGCGCTCAGTCTTCGTTAGATCAGAGAAGAAAGCTAATCTCGCGACCTTTTGTTTTGAAGTCCATTCGCTGGAAGCAAAATAAAGCGGCCGATGGCAGCACTCATGCATCAATAATGCAGTTCTTATGCCTAAGTGCTGTAATCCCAAATTGTCTTGAGTATCCTTAGTTCACGATTCAGCAGCCCTCCATATTTCTGTCCGATTGTTTGGCAACAGTCAGAGTGCGATGTGTAGACTGGAAATGTGATAAAGTTCTTAGTCACCTAAAAATCAGGTAATTTTAATAAGAGCGAAGAAATTTTTTCAATTCCGATCTTATTCAGAGTATAGTTTGCCTGGAATCTAGATTTCTGCGATTCAAGAATGGTAACTGTTAGCTAACACGCAATTACATCCAACACTATTTTGTTTTCGTCAGTCCGTCTGCATCCCCTTTTGATAATGTGACTGTGAATAGGATCACTTGAAGCAGGATTGTGATTTCGTTGAAACAAGTCATTCGGTTGACAACAAATATAGGATAATTTATATCTTGGTGTGAGGTACTTGTTTGTTTACATCAAATTTTTGGAGTCTTCAATTGTTACCAGCTGCATACCACTACGTTCAACCCAGAATTCTTTAGCAGTCTTCAAATGTTCACCATGGTTTATAACAATGTGTGAACCCCATTTGCTGCGGGCAGCGAGTAAAGATGAAATATGAGGCATTAAAAGTAATTCTAGATTCCTTAATCGTTAACATAAAACGCGTTTGTGTTCAGGGCATGATAACATCCATGATGAGGACACAAAGGTCTTTCGAAAGTGGAGTGAAATGTCCGAGATCAGCTGTCTTGCAAGAAGATGTGCTGAGTCGACATTTTTGCGCATATGAAACCTGTTGTTTTGCCTTCACCAAAAGCGCCCTCCTGAATGCTGAAATTGGAGGTGTGTTTAGGTAATGGAATTTTGAACGGTTGGATTTCAGACAAGTGACCTATTTTCAGCAGCTGTTTTGCAGCCCATTACATCGGGTTCGGAAGTTGTCACCTCTTTACCCGCATCACACACTTGAGAAGTTGCTCGACTAGCCTCCAAGGGAAATGGTGGTCATAACCACAATTACAGGTGACCAATAGATGAGGTGTTTCTCAGAAAATTCGATTTCCTGCGGTACACACCTCTTTACCTGCATCACACACTTGAGAAGTTGCTCGGCTAGCCTCCAAGGGAAATGGTGGTCATAATCACAATTACAGGCGACCTATAGATGAGGTATTTCTCAGAAAATTCGATTTCCTGCGGTACGTGCACGCAAAACCAAGAACTTGGATCAGTGAAGCCGCAGTAGCCCATTACAACATTGAATTTCATCTACATTCGGCCACAGTCCGTATTTTCGGTGACGATAACGGATATTGTGGGCTATGAAATTTCAAGCGCTAAGCCACCAGTCAGATAAGCGGAGACTTGCGTCATCGATCACGAGAAGCTTGCTTATTAAAACTTCCATGATTCGAGTCCAAACATTCAGTCGCCTTATGCACCCATATATTTGGGATTCCAGTGTTTATATAGGTGATGTTGGTGAAGCCAGAACAACCGTTTTCGTGTGCGAAGAAGCGTTCAATCATGGGTATCACTGTGCATTGGATCTATGGATGAACTCTTCACGTCACTTGCAACGTCAGCAATTGAATTGGGATTTGATGTTTTTACGTTTTTGGATCATTTTTGTTGTTTTACGAATGACCGCATTCGTGCAGTTGAGGAAACTGGATTAGTTGTTTGTATCTGATCATTTAAATATTGTTTCATGCTATTCAAACGAACGATCTGTACACGTAGTCACAAATACCTGAGTTAACCAATTGCGGAAGTGTAGAACCTCGAATTTGACCAGTGTCTCAGCTAATCGATTATATCTTTTGGTGATTTCCCGAGCTTCTTTGGTTCGCATCAGTTTGCTGTGGTCTTTGAAGATCATCATTGGTTCCTCTATGCGTCGATAAAGCTGCCTGGCCCAAGCAATTCTGCCTGCAAGCCCAAAATTAGTGTGCAATAAGTAATTGATTCATGCAAAGGAGTACATTTATGATAAAAATAGCAAGGCATATAGAGTACACCTGAATCTATGTTTTTTAGCGTAAACTGCAGATCTACGCTGGAATTTTTGGGGTGAGATAGACCACCATGGAAATGGTAAAGAGCATACAATCAGACGGGACAGTATGTGATTTAATTCTAGCAGATTACATTTCTCCATATAGGATATAATATCTAACATGCCGGAATTTAGGACTTCAGAAATAGGGACATTTTCGGAACCCTTTTGGCCAAAAGTTCAAAAACAAGATAAAATACGGTGATTTGAACAAATTCACTCCTCTTGACTCTAAACTCCTCCACTAAGGATGAACCTCTCTATTAGAAATTCGCTGTAGGATTTTAAGCTTAGCGTTTCTTAATTTAATAGAAAAATATGCCATAACAAGCGTCAAAGACTTAGTAGATTTGCTCCGTAGGTTACCCCACCCTCCATTTTGGATATGGCGTCACGCCAGAAGTGAGCTCAGTTGTCACACGTTACGATAAAATTATTCAACTTGTCTTCTGTCATTAGGCATAATCTCCTAACTGTCGATTCAGTGGATTCGTACTTTTGCCGAGTGCTCTGATAAAGTTCTAGCTACGTTTTTGAGGTACAAGCACACTAGTATCCGGATGAATCAAGTAAATCTTTTTGAAAATGCTTCTTCCCAGTCTGGTGCATTTATTTTGTTTGGGTCAAATTAAACAGGTAAGGACCAGCTCCAAGATTCGCTCTTAGTAGAGTTCATTATAAGTGTCTATGCTTCCCCGGGGATGAAGGTTTTGAAACCCCGGCCCAGGGTGATGCCAGATATTTGAGATCCGAGTCCTGACACAACCAAGTAAATGCATTGGTGATGGGCTCTGACAAGGGTGAGACGAAATCCCAGTGAATGTGCTACGTTCTAACTCAAGAGTTATGTGGATACGACGTGTACGAAATTGCAGCTAATTACAACGGACCAAATAACGTTCCGCCGGCTAGTGACATGCCATAGTGAAAGGAAAACTTGTGTTTGTACGTGTCAGAATATACGACGTTCTCCTTCAACAATTTCCCTCAAATCGCCCCTGCCCCCGATCATATATTAACCCACCTGGCTCGAGACCACAAAGTCATCAATGAGTGTGAACACGACCGCCCGCGGCCGCTGTCAAATGACCTTTCACACTCTCAGTCACCTTTAGATTCAGCGAACTAAACGCAATGAAAAATGCAGGAATCTCCACCCTTTTTCCAAATGAACACGTTAAATTGGATCACACATGGAGGCCACTAAGCCGAACTGTGAGAAAGTGTTTTAATGCACAAAGGAAACGTCCACACTTACTCATTTCGAATGCCCTCAGCTTACCTGACACAGGTGGCATATCCCACAAGATGGGCGGATCCTCTTTGTGGCGTTTGTATTCGTTGGCTACGAGGGTGAGTTCCGAACTATACTGTCGCAACACCCTGAAGTAAGCAGATTCTACGTCCAACTCCGGCAGTTTTAAGTTTGTGTATTGCTGTAATACCTGGAGGGCACGCAGTACACTCGGAATCTTCTCCATATTATTCTCAAAATTATTCTTAAGTTTCATCTACAAAATAATAAACATTTCGGTAAAATCTGGGTAAAAATTATTTTTGGAGGCTATGTGCAGAGTATCCGGGATCTGCTAGATAGGTGTCCTCCATTGACAAAGTTGACCTGAAGTGGCTGTTAACCATCACAATATGGTTGATTAACTTGTTACTTTGAAAATAACTGGTAACTAAAGAAATGTAACTACGACGGGAGATCACCCCGAAGTTGCCCAACAAGGTCGACTTTTTATTATGATTATTTCCCCGCCGAAACAATTCGAGAACAAGTGGTGCTGAACAACGACTCCAATCACAGACAATCCTGGGAATTTGAATATGTTTAAATGTTGCACAGAGTTTGTATTCTGAGACTAAGGGGCTTATTAGATGACCGGAATTATGTAATTTTTTGGTTTCGTCTCCACTGTTGCTGTCATAGACAACCCGGAACCCCACCCCAAAAAACATTCGATCTTACCTTCGATTCGTCAAATGAAATACTTCAAGTAAGGATAGCTCTCTGTTTGTGACAAACAGCTTTTGATGAATGGTCAAAACCCCGGTCAAGTCCCGAAAACTCCTAATGCTACCAACAAGCTCAGAACGAGGGCTCGGAACGAGGGAAAATTCACGAGTTGCGTCAACAACCCGATATCTGCGACGTCATTACTCAAGAAGCTACCCAAAAAATGACCAACTAGTGTGAATTTCATGAATGAAGGATGAGTGGCACAAGTTGATGTCTAGTGAAACTGCTGATCAAGCTCTTGTGGCCGAAAAGTTTGGTCTTCAACTGCTTGCTGGAATATAGCGGGTGTGAATCCTCCTGGCGATTGATGAGATACGCACCGATGACGATCTTTTATGAAGCTGCTGTATAGCACACCTCTCGACATAGCTTATTCTCACTTAGAGGATGAAATTTTGATTGAAACGACAAAAAACTTATTTGGAGAACCAACTGATATCGCATTTGAATAGTCTTCGGAATTTTCGTGGAATACACCGATGATTGTACGCATTGGTACTCGATTTACCTGCATTGGTTCACCAGCTTGCAAGCACTTTATGTAATCTAGTTTTTCTACGTAAAAAGTATGTGCTAGAGGTTGGTGCGTTATTCTTCAGTTGGATTTACAAGCCTCAGCCATAACCAATGGAGCATTCTTTTGTTGGTATGGACTCAACGGAACCATCATAGCCATGCAAACTAAGGACTGAACCAACTTTGTGTGCATTTCAAACACGTTTTATCTTGCCAAACCTTAAATGAGAAGTTCTTCTCACTAGGGGTTCTACGGCCATTAGTTCGGAGCAAACGATTCTGTCATACTGTTTGTCAGTATTTTGCATTTCGGGGAAAAATCTTCGCGCTAAACCCTAAAAAATTGTGGCTTCTGTCACAAAATTGCTTTTGTATGCGGTGCATTCTCTGTCGGGAAACAGTGCTTTGTAACTTGAAAATTTTACTCACTCCCTGTGATGCGTAAGTGCTTTCTTGGATTACTTTTTTGCTCTGCTTCCGAAAAAAACCAAGTCAAAGGTAGTGCCTCTTGGAGGGGGACTTGTTTGTGAACCTTCAAACACGATTTATACGACGAACGCAATTATCGTACTTTCAGTCAGCCTTCTTCTGCACAGAAACTTAGGTTAGAATATCATTTCTTAAGTATTTTGATACTTGTTCACCGATTGCATCAAAGGACTATCACGGATGCCAGCTCATTGTAGTTAATGGCTGGATTTCTATGTTAACTTTCTGGTAATCAGTTTATCCTCATGAGTGCCAATCCGCTCTGTTATCCTGATATGTATAAAGATGCATATGTTTAGATCAATAATCGTAGTGGATCGTACCAGTGATACGATTTCACTCCAGAAACTTGAATATTCGACCTGCGGGCCTACCGGACTTCAAACTGATTTAATGATAAGTAAGTACCTGGATGCATGTGAGTCGCTGTCTGAACGCATCAAGAGCCTCAGCTGCTTGAGACAGTCGCGGATCCAACATGTCATGTGGTGTTTTCTTCAACTCGTTCACAGCAGCATTGTATTCTGCGATAAGTGGATCCAAACCCTCGATCTGCGAAGCTTGCAACCTGGAGTAAAGTTCGATTTGCCGGAAAGCTTCTTCAATTGCACGCAGACGGCGACAAAATAAGTTGAATTTTCCAAAAACATGCATCTCCGAAAGATCAAATTTTCTGGAACTATCACTCTCTTCCATGGCAGATTTGACTTGATGGAATGTAGCCTGATAAGCCTCGTTCAGATAGCAGCTGTCATGTATTTTTTTCAAAAGATCCTTTGGAGATTGTGTCCATACTGTATCTCGCGCTCGATTTGTGATGTACTGCCTGCAGGCTGTAATCATTTGATTCGTAACCTTGATAAACAGCGATGCAATCTTCTCCGCAGTGTTGTAGTAAGTGGAAATATTGTAGATTAACTGAATGATGTTCACCAGTTTTGGCAGACACTCAACCATACTAACCTGTATAAACCAAGAAAGTGATAATAATGGGTTTATATAAGGAAGGCAACTCAATGATAGTGAAAAAAGATGGAGCTCCATAGGGAGCAACACAGTTTATCAAGCGAATGGACGGTGACACCTCAAATATCTTACCAACTAGAGGGGACTGTTTAGCAGCACATTTATCTGAAGAATGCCATAAACACGGATTTATTTGATCCTCTCATCAACGTCATTCGCAAATGAGTATTTTTCGTCATTCTTAACAGTATTGAATAATACAAACACTTAACGGTTGGCTCACTCTTTTTTGGTCTACGTACTGGCTCTCATACTGAACGTAAAAATGGAATGACCTTCAAGAAAGCATTGATGTAAATTTAGACGGTTGCTTTGTTTCGTTTACCTTGACCTACGAAACGCTTTTGAGTATACAACTACCAAAGATCGATAAACGACGTTGGATTACCAGGAAAATAAACCAGTGCTAGGCTAGAAACTTCAGTTCACCACTCGTGACAGTAGAGATGGATGGCGCATAAGACTTTACCGCGTTAATCTGAACCACGATTTCCCTCCCGAAACATCCTTCTAACAAAAAAACTTTTACACGCTTCCCTGTTTCCTTTAATTCATCTATTAGGAGTCTTAAAAACCTCAACATCAGTCAGTGTTTTCTGTATGTATATCTTTTGCTGGCGTTTACACCTCTCTGTTTGATTTTTAGAAAAGTTCCTTTAGTGAATTTTTAGCCTATGGGTTAAACAGGAAACAATGCACGTTACCCAACCGTCCTGCTAAAGAGGCAAAGTAGGGTAGTACAGTTTGTATCCAAGGTGTCCGAAAATTTGCTGAAGATAGCTTCGTTCGTTTTTACCCCATGAGATTGGTGGATACAGATTGCCCATAATAGTCCCGAATACGTCCCATCTCTGAACTTCTACCCGAGAACTTTACATTATCTTTCGATTACCTTTTATCACGAACTTTGCAAGGAAAATGAATACTATTTGACTGTTCCGTCGGTAGCCGACGGGGCTACGATTGGCAGCCACTATCAGACTATGAAAATAACAAATCCGTTCAGGTTTTCAGGTGGACACAGTTCATCACCATAAATAGGCAGAAGATTTTGTGTGCTGCGTTACATTAATGGAAAGCTTAAAGAATTGACAAAACCTACCGGGTCGGACCGATAAAGTGGCTCACAGTATTCTTCCAAGGCATAGAGAAATTTCAAGTTATCTTTGGCTTCATTAGCGTAATTCGTTACTTTGGCCTCAAGTACGGACCAACGCTGCAAACATTCAGTAAACAAAGAAACTGTTTAGTGAAAGTTTTTCAATGAAATATGTAAGAGGGCACGTTACACTTTGTTAGTCGTATCAACGAAATAGATGAAAGAAAACAGCCGATTTCAGTGGCTAATTTTTCGCCCTTTTAATTGTGGGTCTCTACCATATAAAACCACAGTAATTCAGACGACTTCAGTCCTGCACAGGACATCAAGTACTGGCGTCCAAGGAGGAGATGATCTGACTTCCACTATTTCTCAGCAATTGGTGGAAGGCTGTTGGAGATGATAAAGCAAGCTCACACTTGAAGGGGAAGTTTACTAACATGTGTATTTCAACCAAGTCAGAAAAGGTTTATCGACTTTCAAAATGTTGAGTTCATGTTGCATTCGAGTATCACAGTTAACTGTCATTGTGATATCATGCACATCACTGTTCGCGTGTTTCTTCGGCTAAGGTGACAGATGTACAGCTAGCTGCACATGGAAACGGAGACGGTCTAATCCTGTTCGCTGTAAGCAGAGTTGTGGTGTAATTAAGCCGTACTCACTCGACAGCAGACGTTTAACAGTATGTCACAGGTATCAGTCGCAGCAGGATACTGTTCTTGAAGTGAACTTGAAGGCGTAGCTCACTTGTCCAGGATAGTCCGTGACCTAATAATAGTGGCCGCATTATTACCCATTAGAATGGGAACTAGATGTAACAGCCAACCAGGATTGTAGCAGTCCCTGGCCAGTAAAAATGACACTGAATTGGGATCCGTGTAACAAAAATTCATCTGGGGAGTGCCGTAGTGAGGCAGAGCGAGAACTCTGTATGTAAACATTTGCTAAGCATTCCTGACGTCGTATGAGGCGAACAAGTCTAAAATAAGGGACTTCAACTAAGTGTCCATAATTAGACATTTTAGATAGTTCACAGGCAAGTAACCATGTCATAGAACCCACCTACGTCACTAGAAATAATTCTTCGTTCAAAGTTATCCTTTGAGGTTGACCACACTTAGGATAGTGAACGCTTAACTTCTCCCTACATAGTGTTTCTTCGAAAAGACTGTACAGTAATCGGACTGTATATTGTGCGTACTCTTAGGCATCAATCTTGGGAGAAAGTTGGGGGGATGTGGGGCCACATATAAGACTTATTTCTTTTTTAATACTATACTTCTACTATACTTCATGTTATGTTTATAAAATGGCGTCGCTTATGGGCAGGAAAGGAAGCAACGGCCCGAAAATATTGGAAGTCATTGTGACAGAGGATACCGCACTGCAGGAATTAGCAATTGCAAGATATATTCACGGGATAAGCGTAAGAACCGGAAACAATGGATTAACATCCATTTTATTATTTGAGCAACATGGAGAATGTTCCTTGATAGGTAGAGAATTACCAAACGATTAATTCGATGTCAATGAGTAATCAAATTCAGCTAAATAGTTAAAAAGGCTTTGAAAGTTCCGAAGCACTAAACGATCCAAGCTCAATCCAAATGGTTTACCATTTAAAACTGTCAATTTTCAGTTCACAGTTCTAAACTTCCAGATGCGCAACACAAAAGAAGACTTTCGATAGGTTTACCACCCAAAGGTTAACAGCCAACGAGGCGAAAATACCTGTGCACACTCTCGAGTGAAACTATAATTTAGTGCGACCATGCTCGATGTTCTCGGTAATCATTACAATCTTTCTAGACAGTGCTGCTCTGTGTTGGTAGCTAGGCATTCAGAGCTCTACGTTTTTTTTTCAAGACCGATTGACACCCACAAAATAACATAAACATTGATATAAGCCATACCAATGGCAAACCGACCTTAACGTTATGTGATCTGCCTGCTTGTAGAAGAGCAATCACGGATTTGCAAGCAGGTTGCTGTATTTGGATTAACAAGCAGTTGAAAGTTGCCATTCGTCGCCGCCAGTAGTCAAGCTCTATTCGGGGTCCCGTATTACCAGGTTCTTTGCGTATCTGATCCGAAATGGCCAAAACCTATAAAAAGCAAGGAACACGTGATTTTCGTTATCAGAATGAGTCTGATATGCTTCTTCAAGAATACACGATCGGCCATGATCCCAGTGTGCAAACATAAGAAATAACTTTGACCGCGTCGCACTCATTACTAATGTGTTGGAAATCAGTATTATCAACAAAGAGTAGGCCTAATAGGCCAAAGGCTTCAAAACAAACTGTTTTCCGATGATAGTAAAAGGGTGAATGGAAGAGTGGTTATAAACGCATTTTGAATAGTTTCTGGATGAACCCAACCGACAATCAGATGAAAATAAATGATTATCACGAAGACGTTTTCTTTTGGATCCGCCGTCATACACAACACTTGACTCAGCACTGAACCAGAAAGCCTTGTCATAAAAGGCCGGTTCAGAATCTCTGACATGCTCTCTCTCTCATATGGAAAAGCCAAGCTCCATATCCTATGGACTTCCAGCTAGAAATGATCAATTTGACTTTGGATAAATGAAGAAATAGATGGTGAACGAATCAGGTCGACGGGGCCTGTTTCTAGTCTGCTTTGTTCTGTGAATTAAAATAATAAGTGAGCAACTAACACATCTACTTGACTATAACATCTGAACTATTCACCACGAGCAAGGGAATACCACTTGGCCCCTTTGCTGAATGTCTGCCGCCAGGCGACGTATGATTCTAGGTCTCTGTGCCTGGTCATAGGTAGTTGGTTGACTGAAGGATTAGACTATGCCATTAATTGATCATTCCAACCCAGGTTCAAGGGCCAATTTTTATGTTACTGTTAACCTGCATCAAGTAACTCAAGATCACATCATAGTGGAACAAGGCAATACAATGTAAGTCACAAAAATCGTTATCCACATGGCCGAGGGTAGAGTTAGCATTCGCTAATTCTCTAATGAACAAACCAGCCGGACTACGATATATAAAAAATCAAATTTTGTCCGTTGTTAAACCTAGCTGACATGCTCTGAATGCCCTTATCAAATACGTCGTCTCCAACTGATCCCGCTTTTTACGAATACCAGTTGAACATAGTGTCTCTTAAAAATCTTCATTAGTGTGCTCTAGCGCTATTGTCAACAACTTGTCATTCCAGCTTTCTTCACTCGTTGATGAAACGTTGGCTGGCACCGCAGAATGTTTCAATAAAACTTAGGTTCATTCGGGTGCGCAGCGCAATCAACACCTTTATGTGTAAGAATACTCTTCTGTTGAGAAGCCCATGACGTTAGGGATTGTGAAGTGAGATACGAACACTAGATCCCAGTAGAGTGATTCTCTCCCAAGAATAATGCCCGAGGGAGAAAATAAAACTATTTCCGCCATAGATTACCGCTTACTTAGAGGGCATACTGAACTTTTTAACCCAGGACAATAGTTGGACCCATTAGTCTGAGAGAGACAACCGCACACTTCCTCGGGCTTCAGTTTCTAAACTGCAACATATCTGTGACCTCTGGGATTAGTTAACGGATTTTGAGGATTCAACTAATTTATTCATGGACTAATACCTACCTCACAGTCTTGCGTTTTACTCGGTTCTTGTCTATCACATTAATCATTCATGGGTTGAATATTTCTATATTGTAGGTTCATGGTTAGATTTATACCACGGTCCAGCAGCTGCATATTATAGCCCGCCAGTAATGCCGATTGCAGTGTCTCGTCTAGCAAGAGACAGAAGTGTTATTGGCTTACAGTGCGGTTCATAATGTTTTGTGGTTATTCTAAAATGAGGAATCTTTGGGTGCACTGTTTGGAGCTAGGGATGAAAGTTTTTTCAGTCATTTTGATTTCCCTCGTAATCGATGTAACGAATATTCCTGTCTTGAAAAAAGGATTTTTGCATTACGTTATCGTCAGCAAAGCTAGGCTTTTTTGAGCACTGTTGCAGCACTATATACCGGTTTTTCTCATTCAAAACTTGTTACTCAGAGATGAGGACTTCGATCCTTTAGAGACAAGAGATCTCGTGAGTCATTTAAACTAATTCTGTCCCTGTTTCGTAGTAGATTGTGCACGTTCCCAATCCTAAGCGAGACCAGTGGATTAGGGAATAGCCTGTCGCTGTCCAGTTGTATCGTCGTCTACGGTAGGCATGCAGTGTGCATAGGTAGTGATCGGTCTCACTGTTGTACTGTTGATGTAATCCGACGTAGTGCTCACTGGAACTTCCCTTATCAGTTTAGCGAGTTAGGTTAAATACACTGCCTTATTGTTGCCATATTGCAATATCAGATAACTTTCCCTCCACCGGTAGACGTACATCGTCATGTTATCGTATACTGCCACCGGCCATTTAACATTTACTTTGCTTGCTTGACTCTTTAAGCCAGCAAAGTTTTCGTTACAAAAACCGTGACCAAGACAACGAGGTTGCCTCGCTTATTGTAAATGTATTGCGACGGTCAATTACCATGTGTCAGGGCGCGCCCAGACAGAAGAAAAAGTACATATGCAGAGAGTGACGCATCCCGAAGGTCATCATCGGTTCGACACGTCCGGAAAGTGGGTGAGTTGGCGGCTCTCACCAAACGGCTTAGCAACACACGACCAGCGTAGTGGGCCTGAGAATGTTCACGACCGGAACACCACCATTGGCTGTACGGAGCGAACAGGTGAATGACCATATTTGGCCAAGTAGTCATCCTATATATTTAAGCAGATGCTCTGTACGTTTTGTCCTGGCAATACAGCCGTGTCCGCAGTTCTCTGTCTTCTCCCTATCGCGTAGTCTGGCAGGCTCAGTGCAGGCTTACCAATAGCTCGGCCACCGCACAGATACAACACCATGCCGGTAACACACCGGGCTATTTGGACAATCAAGATCCAAATTCGGGTCTTCATGAGTCTCACACTACTGAATTTCCATTTTACACCGTCGTGACTGTTGTTTGTTAAGAGCCACATCATGTCGTTCACCTTTTTGGTCTACAATGTGGAAAGACTGAAGAAACCATTTCACTATCCTACGACGCACTTTTTTCATCAACAGTTTTCACTTATCATCTGGATGTACCTCGCATACGGAAGCCTTCTTTTGACCCAAATGAGCTACTAATACGAATCCTGACTGAAGGATACACAAAAAGTTCCGCAAAGCCTTGTGAACAACGACCTATGGTGTGTTTATTTTGGCTAGCATTCAGCTCAGTCTGATCCCTTTCTTAGTCCACGTTCATTTCGTTCAGTTTGGATACCGGTAAACATTGTGCAATTCGTGGCTAGAACTCATTAACTCTACTGTTTTGCATGCATGTACTTTGTCAAAATCAATCACTGGCCATTGGTAAGCGTCAAGATATTTTTCTTGCCAGAGTGAATAGTACATGTTGCGTTGCTTACACTTATGGTACGGTTTACTGATCTAGTCTCATAGCCTTCAACTCAGGATTGCTTTCTTAACACTTTGAACCACCAGAGTAAGCTTTTCACACAGTTGAAGCTTACTACCTTCTACTACGAAACTACACGTTGAATAAACTGTATGCCAACTTTCATAAATCCAGGTTCAAAGGTAGCCGAGGTAATGAAGAAAAATAGGGTGGTCTTAAAAGCACTTCTCTCAGTATGTTCACCAAAAAGTATGCAGCGGTATATTTGGCCAGCGTCATTTTACAATGGTCAGTCAAAGGAGAATATCGCAACAAAATTATTTTTGTGGACGAAAAGCAATTTTCGAGTAACGACTTTCCAGCAGTTTTGACGCACAATGTTTTGTAAATGTAAGGGATATAGAATTCTCTTTTCAATTGGTTATTGCTTTTGAGGGGGGAGTTCCACCATAAAAGCCCCCCCCAGAGATGTTTACTACTTTTCTGGATTGCTTATGGAAATATCGTTACAGTCACAGAAAGTTATGGAGGGAACTCGATGGATAATCCCTCAAGGCAAACACTAGACACGATCATTCAACTAAATTTTCTGTGGTTTGATGGACAGTTTAGTAGACCGTATTGTTCTTTTTCTACACCGATCTCCTAATGATCGCATAAATGACGAGCATAAACCGTTTTTTCAGGCGTATGTGTAAATACTAACTCTGTTTTTCAAAATCTCCAGGCCTATCATAAGTGTGAATTTGATATGAACAACATTATTTAACGTTGCATCCCATTTCACCTCATTTGGAATTCTCTTAAATCCCTGCCATAGTGTGCATACATTTTGGCATAAAATGAATCGTTCTCAAACGAACGCCAATAAATCCAATGCGGCATGTTTCTTATGAGTTTGAAGTCAGTTAAAAAAGAAAAATAATGATATTTAGCTATTAGAAATCCTGTTCTTACTCAAAGTTGACACCCTAACTCAAACGACTGCCAAAAAAACACTGTGTACGTTTATTTTTAACTAGCGAAAATGTTAGAGACATTGTCTTGAGTGAGTTCCTTTGGAAAAATGAAAGGCACGTAAAATGCACCTTTTTTCATGACTTGTCTATTTGCCACTCATATGGCAGGCTACAATGGAATTTTAAGGCAATATTTTAGAAACCACAAAACACTGAAGAACCCGTTGTTGAGATATGGTCGTTGAAAATCCCATAATTCACTTTGGACACTTCGGTTTTCTAAAGCGACTATTTATAGTCATCCGGTGGCTCTACTGAAGGACTAAAGAGTGGTTAGCTCAAACAGGGACTAATGCTACTCCCTATGAGTAAATTCGTTTAAAAAGGCTGCTGAAGCAGTGATGCCCAATCTTATATTTCGCTTATCTCAAGACAAAACACATGGTGTGATGACGCCGATTCTGTCTTTGGTTGACCTATTAGTTAGTTAGTAATATCACTGACCGTTTCGTCTCTAAAGATTCATCTACTGAATGAGCACCTCTCGCTGTAAAATTAGGAAGAGGCTGTAGGAAAAAACGCAGAGTAGGCCCATAGTAGGGAGTTTCTGGTCCCATTGGGAGCTCTGAGGCATGTGTCGGAAAATGATCACCAATTAGAGGCGGACTTTAGGAAGACCGATATCGATATCTTAATCAGCACGTACTTGTTCCAGCTGACTGATCCATGTCAACACGCATGTTTCGGCGTCCATTACGAGCTGTGGGTCCGCGTGGTATCCATTCGAATATGTGAGCTGACTGAGCCGTTCCATCAGTTTGGTGCCTGCCGGCTTGAGACTGGACTGTAAGATGTATGAGACATGAAATCACGCACTGCCTGTACCATTTGTCAGTTATTGAAATGGTTACTGGGTTGATCACCAAACTCGGTATCTGATTTGCACAAGCGTTTTCGAAACTCGAGGCGTCATCATCGGTGCTCTTCTGCTTGATAGTGAAACGTTCTAATGTTCTTTCAAAAGACAGGGTGATACCTTGAACAACCCTTCTAAAGTTGGTTTATGCTGTTTTATTTTTTCTGTTAAACAGACTAGTCTCCTACTCTCTAAGGTGTGAACTAGCAACTTTAAGCACGTTACCAATATGATGGCAATTTCGTTGCTGTTGACTTATCTACTCAAATATTTAAAACCTTCTAATATTCCGGTGAGAGAAATCAGCCTCGCCGGTCACGCCCTTCTAAATAACTTGGCTGTATCCATCAAATGATGAACCTATGATTCTGGCTTGATTCTTGCTTCACGAAACTAAGACTAAACTAAGACTATGGTATCAGTTAAAGAATGTAGTTGCAATTGATTCAGACAGTTAGACTAACAGAACCATCAGTCCTAGGATAGCTACTCCAAATAGTACCGGCGCAATTATCCTCCTTTTTGTAGCTTTCCATAGCATTCCCCTCTAAAAATTTATAAACGATAATCAATATAGGAAACCACTTGTCCTTTCCACCAATTCGTGGGTCACGATGAACGCTTTTGCCCCATATTGCTTGTCATTGCACCTAAACTACATACCTTAGGCTTCATATACTATGAAGCATTACTGCAGTGCACACCGTAGTTTCTATACTCTTCTAGTAAACCGTGGAATATATTAACTTCATTGAGCCTGGAATTTTCCATTCTTTATATCCTTAGGAAATGATTTGTACGTACACTTAAATTAATTCTGTATGATTGTGAGGGTATCATACTACATCTGAAGAGAAAAAACTCATGATTGGTAGTAGATACCTTTCTAAGCCAAAGTGGCACTTTAAGAATAATTAATCATCAGGCCCGATAACGATTTTTCGTTATTTTTGCTTAAATGATGTCTGTCGTATAGAAGTAGCGCTCTACTCATCCCTGGTTCTACCGGTATCTACCGATGAGTGATGAAAACTCGTGACAAATTCATCCCACGGGGAGTTAAGTACCAGCTTGACCATAACGTAATCCTACTAAACTTAGACCAATATTAGTCGATAATGCTCAGAGTAACGCATGAATAACATAGTTTAACAATCACCACACCATTTGCAGGAAGAATAGCGATCGCACTTGAGCAGTGCATTGTTTCTATGATTAGCAGTGACGAAACTACTGGAATAGATTGCAGTAATGTATAATTCCGCTCGTAAATGTTCGCTTCGTGTTATAGGTATGTAGATGTATCTATCTGATGAATCCAGAAAGAAAATGTTTGACAAAATTTGCACCTTCTTCTATTTGTAATTATGAATAGTGACAGTTGGGTCCTGTGCTCCCTTGGTTTGAATATTTTGTCGGCGATTGTTTTGACTGTTATTCCAAGTCAACAGTTATATTAGCAAACCAGCATTTCTAACTGATGAGGCCATTTTACTTTATTTGTTTACTAAGCACCAGTGACCGGACCGTCGTAAAAACCATAAAACATAGTGGATTAGATGAATCAACTTATTCAAACCATCAATTAAGTTATCTGCGTATTTTTCGCCGCAGATTTAACTATTCAAACCCATGATAGGTTTGCTTTTTGTCAATAGGCTTAGAAAAAATTAGGAGCGACTAAGTAGGGTGTAAGCGGGAGCATTGATTTTTGTCATACGCTAACGGGAAGTCCTGGCGACCAGATGTGGGAATGAGGAATACTGTTAGGCCGCGCTGTAGACAAAATATGAACTGGATACCAATAGCTTTATTGAGTTCTCAAAGAGGGTCTAGGTTATTAATCGCCAGCCAACAATTTACGGGGATTTCTGGGCCCACTTTAAGTTTGATATGGATTAACTAAGTTCGAATCTGCATATAATTTTCTGAGGCTTGGAAAAGTTGACGTGGTCATCCACCGATACAATGCGCAATCTTGGAAAAGGTTAGGGGGACTGTCCATGGATTTTCCTCTCATGATGGAGAAAATTTTCTAATGAGCCAAGTGTTCGCTTTGGAACATGTTGTGTTTTTGTTTCTGTGCAAATTCAGTTACCTATCTTGCCGAGTGACTCTGGTATAGCTCTTATGTGCTGATCGTGTCAACACTTGTAGAGTGAGCTTACGAATATGTAATCACAAAGGCTGTGTAAAAACCTCCCGTTGATAATGTTTCAAATATCTTCTTCGCTTCAGTAGTATTCCTACTCAAACAGACAAACACTACAAACACATTCGGCCAATCAATTCAAAAGAAACTAAGAAACAAGGCCACGAAAGTAAATACTCAGATGTGTACCATCCACCGCCACTGTCCTAGTTGTTACTTCATGGGACGTCGAACCTTATGTCGATTCAGCTGATGTTCAGTAGCCTATCTCATTTCGAGATATAGCTTATACCGAGACATTCGGTATGAAATAGCAGGGATAAGGGGCCGCTGTTTTGTTATAATCTTAGATGTCCATGCGTCATCGCCTGTCAGTGGGCACAATGGAAGTGCCAACTGGTTTGATTGCAAATTATTCAGTCGTCTATGCTCTGACAAACATCGTTTCCTGTGTTGCATCGTCGTTTGTCAAAGTGAAACTTCGATTGCCATTTGGTCAGTCAGTCACAACCCGATCAATCTACACCCTGGCATTTGCAAGGATTTTACAACCCGAATACTCCAACAAAACTTTATCATCTTCCTCGTTCTACTCTATTCAGCCAAATTCGGTGAAGCCGTGCTTTATTGCGCAGAGCTTTTTTTTATTATCAGCAAAAGCTCCAACAGTGATGAAGTGAATATATGTTTTGGTGTGCACGTGGAAGATTGCGAGCTGTCTAATTGTCGACCTCGGTTCCATGTTCGTAGATAAGTTATTTTGTGTTGGGTAACCTATATGAGCTCTCTCCCAATTATAGTTTAAGGCAGAAATGGCATAAGTGGGAATTCGTGTGAAATGTTTCAATTGATTGCTGGTTCAGGTGACGCTAGGGTGCTCATTATACAATCAGTTGAAGTAAGGGCGGAGGGACAAAAAGCCTTTGCTAGCTTCCGACCAGTTATAAGTTTGCTACTAAGCGTAACAAAATCGTATGAACTTGGACAATGAGTTTGATGTTCACTACGCCCATTCAAACAAATCACTGTACACTTTAACATATTGTTACCTGGGTGTCAAGAATGTTTGACGCATCGCACAGAAGGTCAAGGAAGTTGGAGGTATTATCCACCAGGTCATCCTTGTTGAAGCCGGTCAGAAGTGATCTGTCTGCCTGAGGACGATCCGGTATTTGTTGCAGTTGTGGTAGAATTATGGATGAAATGTGTTCTTCCATACATTTCAGCACGCCTTTGGTTAGGTCCAAAGTCATAAAGATAACCTCCTGTTGAGAAGATGAACGTAAACAGCATCCTGTCTAATCAGTATTGCTTTGAAGGATACGCCACACGAAGTGCTTCTTAAGTGAATATCCTTAACTTTTGTACCAAACCCTTAGAATGGAAGATGTCAACAACAAAATAAGTAGCTCAGTTATCGTTGAAGGTCAATGTCCGGAAAGACAGAATAATATTTTTTAGGAAACCATAATGGTTTACTCCGCTATAGCTCGAATTTCAGCAGACTGTAATATACCAATAGAGAATTGTTAAACTGGCTAGGAAAAACTTCATTAAGACTTGTTGGACATATTTAGAATGTGAAAACTGGACTGTTTTTCAAGAAAGTCTTTGAAAAGGGGAAAGTTAGCTGCATGAGACTTCTTTTCTATTAAGACTACTTCTGTAGGAATATCCTGGATGAGCAATACCATCCTAGCCGGACACTTGTTTTTTATACTTAGTATCGTACATATGATGACCGTCCGGTGCCACGATAATAGGTTCAGCAACCAGTTCGGTGACCAGAAATAGCTCACATGCCCGTGGTTAGAGGTAAGACTGCTCCACAGAAGCTTCTTATTTACAGGACGGAAGCAATCAGTGCATACCAGTTTGGCAACCACGTTTGTGCCAACAATTTACGGACACAAACTTCACTGTGAGCTACCAAGCCAGCTTTCAATTGGCAGCACTTGTCACAGTCTTTGCACGTAAGCTCAGTAGGTTGGAACTGGTGAAGAGGCACAATATGATACGTGCTACACTGTGTCGAAAGTAACCAGCAAGGTAAAATGAAACAAGGCTGTTGGCTCTATCTAGTGTTGCTGGACCATTAGCTCACCCAGAATAACGCCCGTGCTATCCGGTCGGCACTACGATGAGGTGTTTCAACGTGACACTATTATTATCCTTTATTTTTGAGGACCATGGTCACAAACATATAAAGTGAATGCAAGCGACGAACGCGAAAGGATAACAGGAGAATATGATAGAAAAGAGAGAGATGTCTCATGCGAATTCACCCCGGGTTGATTGCGTTGGTTCTATGTTTGGGCATATTAGTTTGCTATAATATACCACCCCTATGAGAAAAATATTCCTGTCGAAACATATTACTCAGAAGGTATCCAAAAACACGGTGATAGCCCATGGCCGGCTTAGGCCTGGGGATAATCAGGAATTCTACTGCTGGTATGACAGTCATACTTCTGTAGTTGATTCCGAACAAGACGAAACTCCTATATTATATCCGGGCGTTTATTTCATGGCCTCACATTTCTCCTCCATAAGGGGCCGACAATTCTTCATTGGAAGGCCTATCATATTGACGAATGTATTATAGATAGAGGCTGTGTATCCAGAAAAAAAATATCTCGGTGGATAGACGGGGTGCAAAGGTGGATACACTGTGTGGCATGATACTCTATTAATACATCATTTGGCGTTTAAAGCCATGGCTTCCTCTTCAAATATAGTTGTGATTCTCTAGAGCAGCGGTACTTTCAATTCCACAACGTTGTGCCTTTAGATATTTCTGCGGAAGCTTGTGAAAACCGATGGAGCAAGTCAAATTATCCATGTCTGCATAATTTATTTAAAAAGTTTACCTGTGTTGTATCGGAGCACTTAGGGTTGATTTGTTTAGCCAAGTTCCCCTGTGTGTTCTGCCACTCTCTTGTGTTGTTGGTACCTATGGCCTCTTCTTGAGTGCATTTCGCTTTAAAAAGTTTGCATTTTGCAGACCATTCTGAAAATGTTCACATCGTTGCTGTTTATGGCGTGATATATCGATTAGCCACCTACTATTGGTTGTGTCTTTACTCTGATTCCACACTAGCAAATAAATATTGGGCCAACATTTTAGAATGGTGCTTAACCTTACCTGTAGAAGGAACACTCGAAGAGACTGAATATTTCAGAGATTGGGACACCTAAACCGCTTTGCTCGCTGTGTTGACCTTGACTTCTTTGTCCTCAAATACCGCCGCGTTTACGCGGATATGACGTTCTTGTAGTGAACGCAATGCAGCGGAAGCTGCCAGTGTTGGGGTCTCCCTCTACCCGCAAACTTAAAAATCATGGGAGGCAAAATTTATCGGGTTTTTTGTTCGTGTATTGCAGGCCAGTGACTTTGCAGAACAGGCTTCATGACTGTTTTTATACAACGGTCAAGAATTTTTAAGCTCACGCTTGACGCGAACCAGTTGAACAGTTTTCAAACCTGAAAATGAGGATTGGAATCTGGAGGCACAGGCACACTCGCAATCCAAACAGCCAGCTACCACCCAGTCCGATGTTAACGCAGGATAGGGCTGATGTGAACACGACTAAATTTTGCTCTTGTCAATCTGAATCAGAATAATACTTGGTCGAAATGGGTCAAGATATTCTTATCTTAGCTCAGAAAACCACTCCTCTAGTCCTTAGTTCTAAAATATTGTTGAAAGTCCAGTATATTTCTAGTGAGCCCAGTAATGGCGCAATTCAGGCCCAGATTGTCTGCCTAGTTGGGAGTAAGGAAGATTTAAGACCAGGTGATTTTGTATCTTCAACTACCTTAACCTTAGACTGGGCTCTGACTTGCTAGCACTGGATTTGAATGCTGCCAAGTTCAGAAGATATCTAGTCTGGTTTGGATCATTGAATGATTTTTGCGGTTTAAGCAGACACTTTTATTGTAGTCACTCAGCTATAAATATCGAGCATATTTTTCAACAATTTTACATCTACTGTTTTCCGTCACCGCTTTACTACTGCTGCCCGTGTTCTGCACTACGTATCCTGGAATTTTCACCAAGATTCAATGATGAGGAAGTTGTGCCCCTAGAATGGCCACTTTAGATGCTTCAGTAAACGCTTCCATGGTGGACTTTTACAGCCCTCCTCCGTGTATGAATAAACGGTGAGCGAATTGTGAAAAAATCAACGATGAATATAAGATCGCTTTGAGAGAATGCCAATAGCGACTTACTGTACTCGGTATAATGCGCTGAAAAAGCTGTGTGCTATTCTTTAACCGTGTAAAAAAGAAATGTTTGCTTTTCAAAGCATGTGCGAAGAATATTACTTTCACAAATTCTGAAGAAGGTAATGACTGGTCATTAGCGTGTCAACATATTTGGGGAATGTGGACTTCCTCCTCCGGAGCGCATTTTAGCTTATTCAAGATAGAAGAATAAGCTAACATCGTTCGAATCCATGATCAACTGCTACCGAAATTTATAATTGTAATGGCTTTTGTGGATGAAGTTGTCGTAACCCTTATTGTTGTAAAGCTGAATTCTACTCCGTGCTAACGTTGACTTCCTGAGCACGCCACAAATAGTTTGTGACCAAGTACAAATGTTCCGACTGTCGAAAGATCGGTGACAAAGTCTAAGTTAGTGATGAAACAGAGGTAGAAGCCATTTTTATTCTTGTTTTATACAGATGATGCTTCTATTTAAGAATTAAAGTAAGTTGATTTCTTCTTTTCTCAACATATTCCATTCATTTTATTCTAAAATACTCTGTTAACGCTTGCTGTAAGGTACGCATTCTGTATTTGCATTTGACCGAACTCAGCGTAAACATATACACCAATTTGTTATACCTTATTATCGTTGTGGCCTCCAATCTCTGGCTCCGCCTCACCGCCAAACTTTCTACGATGCCCTAGTTGCACCCAAATTCCAATACCTGGATATGGGACTAAAAAATTCAAATTCATTGGTTTTTATTTTCGCAAAGGTCTGTTTCAAAAGATTTAACGATAAATCATCCTTGAGGCATCTTGTTAATATACCCTGTTTTTATTCACCTAGGGGCATCTGGTCGCAGTCTTCACTCAGTAACGTGACAAAAACATCCACATCAAAAATCATTGAGAAACAATCCTCACGACACTGTAAACTGGCCGCATGCAACAGACTAATATTATGAAATTCTTACAGCTTGCCTCTTAGAAAATATCTGGCCATTATGTGTTCAGTTGCTGGAACATCCTTTGCTACAAATAAACCTAAAGGAAGCTGTGAGAGCAAATTGGATTGCATCGCTCTAATCTCACTAAACTTTTCAAATTTTGTTTTATTTTTATGTTTATCTACAAGAATGGTGTGGTCCTTTCCGCTCTTAATGGTAGTATAAAGGAGCAAGTGCGCCATTTTTGGGAGGAGTTTGGGGGGGGGGGCTTACGAAAATACATACTGACCGCTATAACCGACATAAGTTGATGTTCCGCGTTTCAGCATCTTACGCAACAATTGTTGGTGTCACCAAATAATGCTACAAATGGCGCCTGCCAAGACGAGCAGGTATGGCAATTTTTCAGGTAGAACGGGAAAATGATAAGAATTGTATAGCTTGGAAAACAGACCTTGTGTAGTAACGCCATCAGAAATGCCTAGCAGGTGAAGTAATCGAATATCTTTCTAGATGCAGTGTGTGATGAACATGACTGATGCTCTATTCATTGCTCTATTCATTATTCTCTTGTTTTAATATTCCATATGCTGTACATATTCGCCAATTCGAATACATACGTGCTGGTTGCCACTCTTCGCTGAATTCTGGATTTCTAGTTTGTCGGGTTATACCGATATACGTACGAAACTTAATTCCCATATTTTGGCGTCGCGACTGGAACAATTCATCATGCCTGCCGGAATGGAACCATTAGATGTTAATTCAACTGCGCGTGACGTAGAGGATTATTTGGAACGATTCGACATATGGTGCCTCACAAAATCCGAAATGGATGAGAAGAAACTCACTGCATATTTCCTACATTTCGTTGGCAAGGAGGTGTATACTTTGATCAAAAATTTAGTATATCCTGAATCTCCAATCGATATTTCTTACACTGCATTGAAGAAAAAAGTTCTTCAACACTTC